GGTCCACTTTGTGTGTATATAAAGTTTGCTTATTCCGAATTTTTCTTAAAATAATTAAATATTTTTTAATTCCGAATTTTTTGTTATAAAGATATTTTAAAAGGAATTGACTTCCTACAAAAGTATCGTTGTCTACATTCAAGGACAGTGTTTGTATTGGCATTTAGGTTATTTTTATAATTTACGCCTTTTTAACGATCGGGATAGCAATTACAATAACAGGTAAGTTACTAAAATAACATATTTAATTGGAAATTGCATATATAGATGAAAATATAGATATATAGTATAAAACACAATATTTTGGCGGCCCACTGAGAACGACCGACAAAGGTTTGAATTACTTATTTTGTCTCTGTCAGGGGGCCACTGCTCCAGCCAGTTGCCAACGTGTCTAAAGATGAATTCATAATGAACAAATTCTGGCAATATATTGACGCATTTTATCGCGATGCGCGATATGAACTTGAGTTTACCAATGTGGAGGTAAAGTCGCAGCTCCCAGTTATCGCCAATAAATCGCAATTGTATCGATGCAATCACGCGCTTGCATCGCGTTTGCATCGCTACTAAATGTAGCAGTGTGTAACCGCTCTTATGTATTAAATTTTAATTGTATTTTTTACTTACATTTTTATTTATATATTCAGTATGTTCTTAATCATAACGAGCTATAAGTAAAATACCCGCGTATTCCTTAGTCCTGTGTAGATGAATCATAGGCAGAGGTCGGAATTAGGTAGAGTTATTTATGTACTTGCATCGAAATGTAGATATTAATATGGACCTTCCCGGGATTTCTTATGTGTGGCGATCAATATGACACATAAATAATAATAAAAACTTCAGAGATAGATAATCATAGGTCCATTTGTCATTTTTGTTTTAGTGATAAATTTGAATTTTTCTTATTTTTCTTGTATTGCATATCTAATAAAGTAATTAAATAAATAAATAATGCACACGCTCATAGCACCACACTAGGGAAACCCTGTACAGCGGGTGCCATGTACACACACATAGGCAAACAGAAAATCACACCCAAACTCACGAGCGAAATAAATGTAGGCCATATAAATACTTCTACAAGCCCGGGAAAGACCGTTCGGTCACGTGGGCAGATAATTATCGAGTCCCAGGTTTTCGCGATTGTTACACACTATTATATTATTATCATCATTTCAGACACCCCCAAAGATTGCCACGCTAACATGCATCCAACGGAATCCTGCAACCTTCACTAGGTCATTGGTCCACCTTGTGTGCCCACGCTGTGTCTTTCGGTACGCGGTCGTCACTTTAGAATTCTTTGGCGTAGCCGGCTTTACCTATGGGGCGCTGTATCTCCAAGAACGCCGAGTGCCTCCGCGACGCTTCCAAAGAGCCTGCGTAATGAAGTAAATAGGCAATTACTTCCCTACGTCATTTCTGATTGCACCATTTGCATACGAATTTTAGATAAAGCCTTTCCTTCAGACTTACAACTCTATCCGCAGCAACCGTTGTCAGGTCGTTTAAGAACGAGTCCATTTCTGCGTACTTTTAATTATTTTTGAAGGTTGGCTGAGTGAAGAAAACTTTCACAGGTTTCTTACAGGTGGTACTACGGCAAAAAATCGTTAAAAACCATGAAACAAAGGTCTGCAACAAGCACGCTAAGATCGACAAGAAGAGATTTGTCGGATCGAATCATTGACTTACAATTATATGGACGTCGGGTCCGCGCTAAAAAGTGTCCGCACTTGTAAGGCGCTAAAATCGTATACAGAGCGCGACACTCCGCTTTAGTCTTCATTTGTTCTACTGACAGCGCGATACTGCGATGACATTACAATTTAAATTTCGAATAGGTTGACTTGGGACATTTTTTTCGTGGTTTTTGTATTAGACCCGTCGTCCATTTATTTGTAAGTCAATGGATCGAATGAATAATTTTTTATGTTTGATCTTTGCATTAATAACTGTAACAAACTAGTGGAGTAATTTCACAAAAATATTTGATTATAAGGGCAATAAAACATCGCGATATTCAATAAACCTGATTTTTTACTGTGAGATTTTGCACTCGTATTATGGAAGTCAGAAACAACGGTGGTACCACAAACACCCACATCCGAGACAATATAGAAAAGTTGGAAAAGTGTTTCTTCATTGACCCGGCCGGTGACCGAACTTGGGACTTTAGAAATGATGACACCATGAAAACCGGTGCCGTCTCCAAACCCTGGCAGTCGTCTCGTGTGTGCAAATGTTTTTCTGTTATAATATTCTTTCTATTTCATTATAAATCTCGTGTTTATTTCTCGAGAACATTCAAGGCTTTTGATTTTTCACAATGAAGGCACTCGTCTATATTGCATTATTTAGTGCAGGCTGTATAATCAGTCTGCAAATAACTATTAATATAAAAAAAATGTCTACCAATCATGATGGAATTATCATGTACACCTGTTCATATGTCGTGGTTTAGACTTTAGATTAGACACACGTGTATATGTTTCGTCTTCGTATAGATATCGAATATTATCTATAACAACCGTAAAAAATTGGGTGACAATTGTAGTGTTCCGTACTTACGATTCTTGTATGATACAATGTTCAATAAGTGGCACTCTCGGAGTAAATAAGTGGTGGAGGTCACTCTTTTTAGAGCCTATTGTACACCACTGTACGCTGGAGCCCTGTGGGCCAGCTATACCCAAAGCTCGCTCAAAGCCTTGCATATGTTACCGGAAAGGTATGTAATCCGTCATTGTATACAATTCCTAGGAAATGTATGTAATTCCTAAAATCGCACGGAAATGTGTAAAATAAATTATATTAGCCACATTTCCTAGGAAATCTATACATTTCCTAAATAGCAATCGGAAATGTAAAATATTTGAGATTTCAATGGGTACGCGTACGCGCGTCGCAGTCCCTCTGGGCAGAAACGAATCGGATTATTTAGGTTAAGTTCGGTTTTTTTTATACAAACGCGGAAGTCCCTCTGGGCAGAAACGAATTGGACTATTTAGGTTAAGTTAGGTTTTTTTTATACAAACGCGGAAGTCCCTCTGGGCAGAAACGAATCGGATTATTTAGGTTAAGTTAGGTTTTTTTATACAAACGCGGAAGTCCCTCTGGGCAATGAGTGCTTTAATAAAAAATATTATTCTCATTTTAACAACGTGTTTTATTACAGAAAGCATTATTTTTATACCTAATACGATATTGGAATTATATACAATTCCTAGGAATTGTACACATTTTCTAGGACATTTATGTAACAAATAGTTTTTGAAACAATATTTTATACATTTCCTAGATAGCTTCGGAATTGTATACATTTCCTAGGATTTTTATACAATTCCTAGATTTCATACATTTCCGGTAACACATACACAATATAATAACGCCTCCAGAACCATGCTGCTGTCACGGTTCTGTAGTGTGTCTGCCATGTTTGCTGAAGCTCGCGTCGACGGCTTCATGGCACTCTTACGGATGAAGACAGAATACGTGCCAGTAGCCACGGCCTACTGAAGACTATCGCGGATATGAGTGAGTGCCCCGTGATGCGGCATTTAATAACATCCACAAAATCCGTAGTAGAATTTAAGTACTAACCTAATTATAAGCTATTTTTGTTACTAACACTTCATGGATCCCTGCTGTCCGTAATTAAAAAAAATAAAAAATAAGGCCGACACCTGCAACATAACAAGTTTTTGAGGTTTAAATTTTCTGCGAACGAAATTAGTAGCAGTAGAGTTTCTTGTGAAAGAGTTCGTCTCCATATGATGAAGTACTGCCACTATGAGCATTACTGCGTTCCGGTTTCGAAGGGTAAGGGTGCTGGTGAAATTACAGGCATGTGGGACTTTTCCAACTTATGTCTCAGTGTGACAGGCGCAGTGGCACTGCCCGCCCATCTGGATCTTTGCTATTTAAAACTCTGAGTTGCATAGCAACTGCTATGGACAGGCGTGTCGCTCAACATCAGGCACAACTTAACACAACCATTTGTGAGGCGTAGAATCATCTTTTAAAATATCATCACCCTATGTGGTGATCTTCACTCCTTAACACCTGTGGTATTTGATGGTGTTCGAATTCCTTATACTTTTATGATACCAAGTGACCCAGTGACACATTGCAGTGTTACTCAGAGCCTTAAATGGCAAAGACTTGAAAGGTACTGCCAATGCGCCGAATGGGATAGTACACGTCACAGAACAATAATAAATACAGTAGAAGTGGTTAGTTAGCGTCCGACGCGTGCCAATTATAGGTCTTGAAAGACCTATCTGAGCTCAGTCCGCCATTTTGGCTTTGTATGGTATGGTTATGTCATTCTTTCGTGCAAATTTTCTAAAATCCTTGAAAAATGCCTTATTGTGCTGTTTTGGAGGGCAAACATAATGGCCGCACCAAATATTACCCGTGGTGGTATTTCATATCATAGAAAAGTGTTATTATAATAAATTTTCAAATTTCTTTTTATCGATATTTTTTTTTGTTATAAGAAACGAAAGTAAAGCTTATACCACTGCAATATGGTCGCTTTTTGTTTGGATAACCAAAATAATAACTCCAATTCGTCGTCGTTCAGCAATAAACCGCTAGATGGCAGCACATTCATTTAAATTTCAATATAATATTAAAATGTCGTAACTTGGTTAATATAGTACTTAGGTATTGATGGTATAGAACTTTCAACGATACCAATATGATAAAGTTTAAACTATATTAACAATCCAGAATTTGTTATTTCTTTTTAAAATTTGAAACTACGACCAATAATTCTGATAGTAATCGAGACTTAAGGCGTTTCCATTGTTGTTTTCCTTCTGTGGTATACGTTCACCTGGAAGATTCACTTTGACCTTAAATGTCTCGTCGTTGTTCACGTAGTGAAATTATATGTGGAACCCTAATTGATCAATCAAAACATTTAACTGTCAAGATAGTATCAATGTTGACTGGTAATATATAGCCTAGGCGTGGAGTTAGTCAGTATTAACTGAAGTCAGTTCTTTATAGGCAGGCACGATGTTGACCAAAGTGTTCTTCCTTTTTGCTGTACTCGCGGCTGCAAGAGCCCAAACTCAAGTTAGCCAATGTAAGTAATAATAATAATAATATCTTTATTGCAAAACACACAAAAATATGTACAGTGTGCCTAGCTCCCAAACTAGGATCCCCTGTACAATGGGTAGCTAGGTCTTACGTCCGTCATGTGTGTTGCCCAAAAATAACAATAACTAAGTATATTACAATAAGTTTATAAAGTATGCATGGTAGAACACAAAGACTAGTGGTTAACATTAAATTTTGGTACATTCATAAATTTCTTACATAATCCAGTATAGTTCTAGTTTTTTATAAACAACAAAGAACAAAAACATTCAAAGAATATTTTGTAAGCAGGTTAAGATGCGTGAATATTAAAAATATAAAAATAAAGTCGCAAAAGCAAGAAGGGTGTATAGTCACATACGCAAGTAAGCTATGTTTTGGTCAGAAACTCTTTTGCTTTTCATTTTCAATTTGTAATTTTAAAAACCTGATCATCAAAAAAAAAGCGTGTAACTGCACTAAACCAAATTACTATAGGGAAGGGATTTAACGTTATTACTCATCTGTTGTTATATGTAGGTATTTATAGGTATTTCAATGGCTAAGACTTTCATGTTTGCACAGTAAACATTAATTTATGTTGTCTACGGACTGATAATCGTAGATAGTAAATCGCAGTAATTTAGTTGTCACGACATTTACGCGAATTTAATTTAGTCACTAAATTATCGAAATGGAAACTCATAATCTTAATTTGTCTAAGCTTAATTTTATTGTGTTTTTTGTGATAGCTTAGTAGCTATCACAACTTTTTTTTTACTTAGTAGTAACGGGACGCGTTTGCACCGCTGCTGTGTAACCACTCTTATGAGTTAATTTGGGTTATTACCAGTTGTCACCACTGGAAAAAAATCCCATGTTATCAGGTGGTGACAAACGGGATAAAAAACGTCTCAGTTGTTGCCCGTGGTGATTTCTACTAGCGACAAATGGGAAAAAAAAATTCTGTATGGTACCAGGTGGCGACAAACGGGATAAAAAAATGTTAGTTGTTGCCGTAAGCCGTTGTGCTTGTCCAACACTGGACAGCACAAGCAACATTAAATATTTAGGTGTCATAATTAATAAACATCTTAATTTCAAACACCATGTAGCGCTTACTTCTAGAGTTCGAAAATTGATCATATTTAAAAAAAATTAAGATTTGCTGCTAGCGGCGCCCTTCTCAAATCAGTGTATCTGTTAATCATAAATAAATAAATAAAAATAAAAAGACATTTATTTATCCACAAAATACACATAAAACTAGTACAAATAAAAAAACAGCGACAACTAAAACAGAAATGTGAATAAAAAGGTTGAAGACTCAGCATTGCTGATTTTCAGTCTACACCTAAAACTATATCTATTCGCTTGCTACAACCGACCGGCAAACGGAGCACTAAATATTTAATTTATACTTAAGGTTTTTAACTAATCGGTAACTAAACAAATAAATACTACTGAATATTTAATGTATAATGTAGTAATGACACTCGGTCATTGCTATTTACGTGCATATAACACCACCCTGAAAATCCTGGATAGAGCGCAGAGAGCTGTTCCGTCTTCTGTGATTTCGATTATCCAACCCGCAAACTCCTAAACGAGTGCGATGTCCTCTTGGTTCGGTAACTGTTTATCCAACAAATAATTTTGAAAAAGCACTCAATTACTCCATTTGATTCCGTTACTTTAACCAGCCACCGCCGCCTCGATACCTTTTCATCTAATACACAACTCCGCACAGCACACTCGCATAGATTCTTTTGCTTCCTTGGTACATTCCTTAGAATTATTTCGCCATGAATAAAATAGAATGTAAAAAAGACCGTCAAATTGTGGCTTAAGAGTCAAACTTACAATGAAACAGATGACTTGCTGGTAGTGGTTTCATAATTATTTTTATATAGGTATTAACCATTAATTTATAACTACTGATTATTTTATTGTTAAATATAGAAAATTCATATTTAAGCTGTAATATAAAGAAATTTGCCCAAAACGATGCTAAAAATACAGGCGTAAATTTATAGTGCTAATATTAAAATGTTATAGCTTTATTATGAAGAACGTATAATTTAGATTCTCTTCTTAATTCTTATTTGAATACTATAATAGCTTTATTTACATTTGTTTTACTTGTATTGTATATTAAGTCATATTGAAATAAATTTATCAGATCTTTATCTTTATTTGTTTCTACGAATGAAATGCATTTTTAAAATGATAACACTTATTCCAGGTATAAGCAACCCAGGGGATCTGCCTCTCAACGTGGATGTAGCGGGTTGCGTGACCCCTCCTTGCGCGCTTCCTCAGCTTGAACATGCTCAGATTGACATTGTATTCCGAGCACGTGAGTATCTTTCATGTATTACCATCAGTCGTCGATTCGATCTCGGTGGTCTTCGGTTTACATTGTGGACGTTGGATGCAGAGGTCCTGGGTTCGATTCCCGGTAGGACCAATTTGGGAAATGAACCATTGTAAATTGGTTCTGATTTGGGTGTTCTAGGGAGTGTGTGCGAAGTTTTGGAATTCACAGTACTAGGAATTTCCTAGTTCGAAACCAGGCAAAAGTGTTGTTGTCAGCCACATAATATTATTAAAACTTTGGCCTAAAAGAATAATTTTGAATTTCTAAATGGGAGAGGCGGTATTCCCGGCATTGGCACAACCGTCCGGGGTCAGGGACTCAAGTTCAAGAACCGGCGAACAATACGTGCCGTATCGAGCAGGACGGCCTTCTATATTAGTGCTGGAAGCGACACGCCACAGAAACTCATCCGCCTCAAGCTGCTGAGCGAGGCTGACTGGAATTAACCCTTAATGATTAAATATTATATATTTGATTGAGCGCCCGTTATCGGAATTCGAGAAGGTGGCTGCATATTCTTTTTGATGCTTCTAGGCATTGTTGAAAAATAAATAAATAAAATTTGTACATTTTGCAAATAAGGGTCATCAGAAAAAGAGTTGTTAGAGAGAAAGAATGCTTGTATGACAAAAAACGATTTTTTTAAAACTCCACAACAGGGACACCTTGTACCGCGGGTGCCATGGAGACACACATAGACAACTCACAAGAGAAATAAATGTTTAAACAAATATTTCTCCGGGCCCGGGAATCGAACCCGGGTCTTTTGCGCGGCAGTCCAGCATGGTAATCGTTCGATCACGGAGGCAGTTAATCAATCAATATTTTTATGAAATAATAATGATTTTGTATGATTTTGTTTTACTCTCATGACTATTCAATTTTTTTTTATTACTCCACAGTTTGTTACAATTATTAATACAATTTTACGGTCTCCGTGGTCGAGTGTGTTGCCATCTCTGAGGTCCCAGGTCCGATCCCCGGCCGGGTCAGTGTAGAAAACTAACTTTTCTATATTGTCTCGGGTCTAGGTGTTTGTGGTACCGTCGTTGTTTCCGATTTCCATAACACAAGTGCTTTAGCTACTTACTTTGGGATCAGAGCAACGTATGTGTTTATTTATTTATTATTTATTTAATACAAAGATCGAATATTAAGAAAAATTCCTTCGATCCGGTTGAATTCGAACCAATTTATGAATTTTTTATGTGCTTGCAGAACTTCGGTTTTAAGTAAACTACCTCAAATGCCTTTAGTTGATACCGCGTAACAGTGACAGTGATGAATGAATCCCTTTGGACAACATATATGTATAGTAAAATGTAGGATATACACGATACGGTGTGAAAATACGTTTCCTAAAAATTTTCACGATAGAAAAAAAAACACAAACTTACCTCCAAATTTTACAACAAAAACGTTGTATTCAATAGGTACTTTACATATACCAATGATTTTTTTATAACAACTGGACTGAATAGAACACGTATGCTACACGATATACATTTTTAGAATCGCTTTTATTTCGTTTGTAAAAAACTAAATTCTGAAATAAAGACAGTGTTTCTGCCGATCGACCCAAGAAAAATGAACTAAGGCCGATCGCGCTGAAGTGGTATAGACTCTTGACGGTTTTTTGGCGTAGCTATCTGTGAGGAATGTATTATTTTATATATAGAATATTGATCTTCAATTTTAAGCTCCGCGATTTCTCATCGCCACCATCGCCTACTAGACGTCATTTTTACTCCAGAAACGAGCTTTAGTTTGCGACAGATGTGGTCAGTCATTAATAATAATAATAATAACGCACACACTCAACATAGCCCCGCACTAGGGAAACCCTGTGTCGCGGTTGCTATGGACACACACATAGACAACCACAAATTACACCCAAACTCACGAGAGAAATAAATGTAGGCCATATAAATATTTCTCCCGGCCCGGGAATCGAACCTGGGACCTCTGCGTGGCAGTCCGGCATGGTAACCGTTGGGCCACAGAGGCAGTCAAAATTTCATTACCACTTTAGTTTGCTAATCATCAGTTATAATTTTATTTATTTATATTCCAGCCCGCACAACGGTCGCGATGCGTACCCTAGCCACTGCTTACTTGCAAATGGGACCAGTAACAGTACCTGTGCCATACGATTTGGGTGAAGATGCAGAGACATGCAATTTCCTCATCAACGCTCGCTGCCCTGTACTTGAAGGAGAAGTTGTCTCCTATAGACTACGGATGCTTATTGAATCTTTCATGCCAGTGGTAAGTTAGATATAGAACATTTTCTGCAATTCCCCAAAATAAATATTGCCACCATACGTAGTTTTGAAGGGTGAGGGTGCTGGTGAAATTAAAGGTACATGGGACTTGTCAACTTATGTCTCAGGGTGACAGGTGCAGTGGGAGTGCCCCTCAGATCTTTGCGACTTAAAGCTCTGAGTGGCACTGCAACTTTTATGGACAGGCGTGTAGCTTACCATCAGGCGCAAGACTTGTTTGTTCCGTCACTTGATATTATAAAAAAAGTGTTCAGATATTTAACTAAATAAAAATCAGTACAGAGTACTAAAAAAACCGACCTCAGAAGTCATTCATCACCTAGTTCGCCACCCTTAGAGCTGGAATATTTTCTTCACATTTAAATGGAACCACATCTGAGGTATACCTTCTTTCATCAAAATCGGTTCACAAATGCCGCAATCACGTAACATACATACAAAAAAAAAATACTGTCAAATTGAGAAATTCCTCCTTTTTTGAAGTCGATTAAAAAGACTTGAAGGGCCATTCTAAATTATTCCAGAAATCCTTTGTCTTCCAGTGTCCGACTATTTTGTTTTGATACTTAAAAAAGACGCTGTGGTACAGAGTTATGTGCTAGACGCCCGAGACAACAGCGAAGAGATCCGGTGTAAACGAGAAGCGATGGTCACCCGGTTGAACCTGAGCCTGAAAGCGGCTTCCGACTGGGGAGATGTGAACAGGGTCAGGTTTAATGTGGCTAAAACACAGGCGTGTCTTTTCACATCAAAACGGAGTCCCCTACACCGTACCCTGACTTTCCGAGATGTATTCGTGACGATAAAGGACCACCTTGAGCTAGTTGGTCTGGCCTTATGACCCAACCACAACATTGAGCGATACATCGAGTGCTTGGCAAAACCTGCTGCCTGAAAAGGTACTCGTAAGGTCAGACGGTACTTCACACCTGAACAGCTTTTAAATCTGTATTAAACACAAGTTCGATCGTGTATGGAGTACTGCTGCCTCCTTTGGGACGGCTCTGCCCATTACCAGTTAGCTACCTTGGACTCGGTGGAGCGAAAAGTTCTCTTGTGGAGTCGAAGCTATAAGATCTCGACCATCGCAGAGTAGCCTTCTTGTCGGTTTTCTATCGGATACATTTCGGGGAGTGTGCGCAAGAACCATTCAATTTAGTTCCACCCTCACCGTTCCTCCTTCGGTCGACTAGAAGGTCCGAAGCACTCCATTCTTATGTCGTTGATATTCGTACTAAGCGCTTTGCTTCCTCCTTTCTGATGCGTACGGCAAAGGAATGAAATGCTCTAATCTGTGAAATGATCTGTATTTCCCGAAAAGTACAATTTGGGGCTATTCAAGGCTAGAGTGAATAGGCATATTTAGGCAAACGCGTCCCATCGTCGGTCACATCGTCGCTTAACATCATCAGATAATAATGTGAATATTGAAGGTGTAATTTGTCTATGTAACAATTTGTTTATTCGTTTTCCAGGGCACTCAAACAACTGTAGAGTTCAGGATAGTGGACGCCTCGAATACGAACTCAGCATTAATGTGCATCAGACTGCCGATCCGCGTCGAACCACCTTTGTCGGCGGCACTTGAAGGCCCTAAGGATGAAAGCATGGCGACTGTTTAAGTGTTGAATTTTAAATATGGATTCCCATTAATGTTATTAACCGCGCCTAATGACCCGTGATGAATTTTTGCCACCGTAACCTTCCGATTTCTCTTAATTTGACTAAAGTTTATAAATTTCGAATTAGTTTTTTTATTTACAACATTTTGTCCAGTACAAAGTAAAAAGGATGATTTTTTTACTACTAAAAAAAATATGTTATAACGAAATAGGGTACTGCGGATGGCCTATGCTAAATTGAAGGATCTGTTTAGCAGACTCAAGGATTGGCCATTTTAAAGAAACAAACTTTTTCCTTTAAAATCCTTAAAATTTGAGTAAAGATTATGATCCACAGCCGAAATTTATCAACTCTCGTAGTTGGTGACAGCCATTCACTATGTTCTTTTTTTTTTAATAAAAAATAACTACGCATTTGACCTCCATCTCACCTGATGGAAAGTGAGCGATTAAGAAGAACAAGTCAAGACGAACGAAACATAAAAACTCAAGACGTGTTATGTACCTACTCACCAATGATATCAGTTATCCTCATCAAGTATACTTTGGTCGCGGAATATGGGCTAATCCTCTTCTTGGAGGAGACATTAAATCAAAATGTCTTTATTTCCTGAGTAAGAAAATTGCAATTTAAATCAAGTTGATTACACATTAGTGCTCATTCGTAAGGCAGATTTCCCTGAGAAGAATGAATAAGAATCTCTAGAAGTTGCTCGTTGTAAATAGATATTTGTGCACATCAAATCCGTGCTCAGCAGTAGGTCCTACCTGTACGGGTTGATAATGACGATGATGAAGGTTGTGAAGTGGATATCCACGCGCTTTGATTGATATGACTTGGACATTGCATTAGATATAGCATTGAGCAGTCTCAATGGAAGATTTGGCAGCACTGTGCCGTGATTGGCGGGGGATTGTGAAGAGACAACTCCACGAGTTTGAAGAGCAGCGTAAAGCTGAACTCGATGCTAAACGTGACGAGATAAAGGAAAGCCCACCTTCGGCCATTAACTAGAAACACGTTGGCGGTGTTTTCAGGTAATTGGAGGTGATTCAGGTAATCAATGTGCAGGAGGGTTCGCTGCGAAGATTGGCTAAATTAGTCACTTACAGCGCATCAGCGCCAACCCAACTACTAGTGAAAGTACTCGCCGTGACCAAACACGGTCGGATTGATGCAGAAATAGAGCGGGAATGATTTATTTTTGAGTTAACTCACTAATGTGAACAGTGATTACATGATTCAGTTTTCTATTACATATGTCAGAGAATCCCAGAGATTTGACAGACCTTTAATGATCAATCCAATATCAGTTGTCTAATGTACCAGAATTGCAATTAACTTATTCACTTTTCACATCAAGAATTACAAAAGTACAAAATATATTAATTTAAAACGGATTTGAAAGGCCACGTGGTGAATTTGCACAGAAAGAACAAGCGGTTGTTTTTTACTTTCCATGCCGCTGACACTAAAAATCCGCTTTTGTCGGTGCATGCTCTTTTATAAAGCTAATATGGCAACCTTCCAAATAACATCGCATCACGTCGGAGGACTTTAATCATTCTGAACTATCTGAATGCATCTAAATGACAACAGCGCTACCCTCTCTGCGTATCACTGCTTACGAATGACGTGACGTTCATAAACAAAGAAAGTCATGACAACCATCGCCTACCAATTAGGTCATTGATGACAACATAATTATAGCGAAACTGACACTGGCCCAAGCCTTAAATTGCACAGTTAGTTCTAAAAGTCACCGTTTGTAACGGTTCAGTGGCCGCCATTAAGCGAAGATAAAATAAAATCATCAAATAACCCCCTTATGCCTTCTTTAGCCATTATGCGACATCACATGAATTCGAACCGTTTACCTCTCAATTAAGAATCAGCCGTTATCACAGTCGTCTACCACCGAACTTCCCTCCTGTGTGTTAAATTTACTGTTTCTAGTTGAATAACCGTATTAATCGATTTCGTGTGCTAGATTATAAGGTTGTACGTTGTACGTTGTACGTGCTTACGACAAAAACCAGCTTAAAATGCAAAGCGTGTATTGACCCCTACACGTGACGATCACTTACAATGGCAATCTGGCACAAATTCTCCAAAATCCATCTAAAGTACAAACGCAGAGAACTCCTGAACTCAAAGACTAAACTCGGATGGTTTGCGTAAAGTATAATTATTTACCTTGTCCGAATAATCCTGCAACCGGTTAACACGAAGGTGAATTTTTTACTATATTGGCCAAATTACAGCCAGGTTTATTACAACCTTGCAAGTTTTAAGAAGTTTTAGAAAATATATATTTTTTATACATGACGACGGGCAGATGACTCTATTCCACTTGATGTAAAATGGAAAATGAAGGAACCAAGTGCATTGTTGATACAATCAATGCCCTAGCCACCTAGTCTTGTATGCCTACAAGATGCCTACTAATTTTTCAAAGACGGAGGAAATACGTGCCCTGGAAGGGAGTTCCACTTGTCAACTGTGCTACAGAGGAAGGTGCCACCAAACCTTTTTAGTTTGCGATGGAATACGGCTAGTTGTAAAACGGTGACTACAGAGGCCAGCACGCGTGCTTCGAAGCAGGAAAGGGGCGGCGGGATAAGATTAAACATTTTTACACGTATTTATCCAAAGCGAGTTCCAATAAACCTATTTGACAACCTCATATACTCAAGGTTTAGCACAATGGGCGCTTAATGAGACTCAAAGTCCTGGGCATATCCTAGTTTGAGACCAGGGTCATTGATGTCAGGAGTATAACGAATTCAAAGCACGAATATCTGCGGTAATCAGTTATTTAGTGAACATGCCCGTAGTGCGCGAAGATCATAGCACAGAAGATTGGCTACACAAGCCACATGCGAGCCCACTAACGCCGCCAACTTCGGAGCTTCGCCTTAGTCGACATCTGTGAGTACGTCTCCGTATATTCCAAAAATATCCTGTATTTATTGTAATAAAGATAATATATATAACAATGGGGAGCTGTTCCATTCGGCGGTCCGGGAAAAACAGCAAAACATCTAATCACAAAACAAACGGAATCATATTTCATCGGTAATTAAATAAAAATTAAGTTATTTTTCAATTTTCGTCCATTGTAGCAAAGCTCAAGTTAAACTGGTCGTTTTGAAGTGAAACAATTGACGACACCCATCAATTCAAATTTAAAAATTCAAAATTATTTACTGTTCTTTCCAACAGGGTAATTAATGTAAAGAATAACGTACAGTGAAATTGCGAGGTGGAAGACTGGTGTCTAAACTAGGTATAGGTCACCAGGTAAACAACACCGGATCTCAATGATACAATATTATGATGTTTTTGAAATTACTAACACGTTACGTACGTACGTACCCTACGTTGGCGTGATGATTTGAAAATACACTATTCATTTGTTATTTTGAGATAAGGTAGTATGACAAATTAGTTTCAATAGAAAAGTTAAAAGTAGGTAAAAGAGGTCTTTGGAAATGACCTATTGGAAACCATATAGTGTCTACGTTTGGTTTGTTTAAGGGCTGGATCATAAGGAAGAAGACAGTGCTGCCTTAGAATAACCATCTGTATGAACAATTGGCGTACCGTAATAACCCTCCAATGGGCATAGAGATCTCTTGTAGGATACAGTGCGAAAAGATGCCACTTTTAGAACGGCCCTTTGGGCCCTTTCTAGTGTCAGAAGTAGTGTTTTAGGGGCGCCGCCTCAGGAGAAAATTGAGTACGTCAAAATGGATTGACACAGGGCGTAATAAACAGTCTTGAGCAATTTGAAGTCGAACGTTAGTCGACGAACAATACGTGCCGTATCGAGCAGGATATTAATATTTCGCGAATAGGTTTAACAACACATTCTGACGTTAAAAATATCTAGATTGCATAGAACGGAAAGAACAGAATCCGTTAGAGAATTTACATCATATCTGTTGGAATAATCAAAGTGCATTTGGAACCCCAATTAATCTCGGCTATCACATCACAAAATCACATGTCAAGATAATTAAGTAATTAGTAATTCGCGGGTAATGAATAGCCTAGATGTGGAATTAGTCAGTACTGTTAAAGAATTGACAGCAAGCATGATGTGGACTAAGGTGTTTTTCCTTTTTGCTGTATTTGCAACTGCAAATGCTCAGACTGATGTCAGCAGTTGTAAGTATTTCTTTACTCAATTCAATTGTTTATTGCATATCACATCACAAATGTAAGATGGAATGTTACTCAGTAATCATAATATAGAAAGTCGCAATTAACATCGATGGTCTTTGTATCGAAAACGTTACACCGATTGGCTCACCGCCGACTTAGGCAAGATAAAAAAATCTCAACGTCAGTTACAAAAAATATTGGAAAACGTATTTTTTAAATACTTAACAAAAAAATTACAAGGAAAAAAATTATATATTTGTAGTGTAGTTTATATAGATAATTAAAAGTTTTTTTCAAATGCGATGGCTCTCCCTGGACAACAACAACGCCCCTCAATTGCTTCCGAAGCCCCTACCGCACCCCTAGGACACTTCAGTGCCGCAAGAAACGAGGAACATATTCTTAAATAAAGGTTTACTGCGTGCGTACAACTAGAAAATTCGTTTAGAACCACCGCGATGTTCCTTTGACCACTATCTTCTTTTATTTTATCTAATTCTTAATACAAACCATTGACTTACAAATAAATGGACGACGGGTCTAATACAAAAACCACGAAAAAAATGTCCCAAGTCAACCTATTCGAAATTTAAATTGTAATGTCTCGCAGTATCGCGCTGTCAGTCGAACAAATGAAGACTAAAGCGGAGTTTGGCGCTCTGTATACGATTTTAGCGCCTTACAAGTGCGGACACTTTTTAGCGCGGACTCGACGTCCATATAATTGTAAGTCAATGATACAAACCCACATTTATTTAGACAATTCTAAATACAATTTATGCAGCCTGCTACAGTACTAGCATCCGGTCAGTAGTTTTTGAATTTATCGCGATCTGACAGACAGACAGACTTAGTGATGTAGTCAATATACATACATTATAGATACTCGTATGTAACATATCTATATTTTTTTGTTATACGATGCGGTGCAGTGCCGCCCGCCATAATGAGCGTGAGCCTTTAGAATATTTAAGTACTTTGAGTTATTTCTTGTTATCACTTTTATCATCAGTGAATTTTTTGTCACGATTGGCCACCACTAAAATCTGGTCACACTTTTTTTTTTATACATGACAGGCAAATGACTCCACTCCACCTGATGTTAAGTGGAAAGTGGTATCCAAACGCGAAGGAACCTAGTGCAGCGATGGAACCTTCACTGCACAAGCCACCTCCACCCTGCCTGCCTACAATATGCCTCTTCACGCCTCGTTTGAAGGACCCCATATTATAAGAGGGAGGGAAGACATGTGCCGGAAGGGAGTTCCATTTGTCAACCGTGCGGCAGAGAAAGGAGCCACCGAACCTTTTAGTACGCGATGGAATGCGGCAGGTAGTGAAACGGTGACTACGAAGGCCGGCACGCGTGCTTCTGAGCAGGAACGGGGAAGGGGGGATGAGGTTGAACAGTTCTTCAGAGCACTCACCATGGTACATGCGGTAAAAGGCGCTAAGCGATGCAACATCTCTACGCAGTTGCAGAGGTTCAAGGCGTGATGAGACCTCTTCGTATGCCCGTGCCTACTGGGCCTTAGGGCAATTCCGCCACTGCGTCGACGTTATG